TGGTATAAAAAACAGATTCAACTTAAAATAAATCTGTAAGCTCTTTCGATTCTTATCTTCGACTGACATAGTTCTGAAAACTCCAATATAAAACATTAAATATGTTGTACTAATACCAACAGCTTTCCTATCCAGGATAATTTCAAATACGAGGAAAACGGCATATCAGTTTAAAATCATTTCTCCTTGTAAAACGTCAGACAGATTAATGTGAAAGCTTATGTTGTTGTTCAAGTACTTATCTCGATATCAATAACATCAAAGCCTTCCTCCGTTCTCACTCCCACGTCACTCCTCCCTCACTTAGCGCTTCTCGTGAGGTCTCCTCCTCCGGCTCTCTCCCGTCCCCTCCCTCCCACGGCCCCTCAGCACCTCCTCCTTCCTCTAACTGTTCCAGTTGTCCTCCTGCTGCCTTGTAGAGCCAAGACGACCTCGGTTCGACGTAGCGGCGTCTCAGTCACCGGCCAAGCGTAAGTATTCCCCCAGCAGGAGGCGGCGGGCGGTGCGACGGCGCTCACCACCTGGCACTGGGACGGAGCGCCGCTGGTCTTTTCTCCTAACACTAGTTTCTGCAACTCCTTCGAGGACGAGTCGAGCGGAGCCGTAGAGTCTTTTTCGGTGTTCAGTCAAGATGTGATTTAAATGCTGTTTAGATTGTCTGAGTTTTAGCTCATCTTGTCATGGGGAGAAGGACAAGAATATCGTTGCCGATAAAAAAGCAATGGATACGAACATATATGTGGAAGACTCAAATGAAAACATCACTATCAGTCCATCAAATACACATATGTGTGTGTGTGTGTGTGTGTGTGTGTGTGTGTGTGTGTGTGTGTGTGTGTGTGTGTGTGTGTGTGTGTGTGTGTGTGTGTGTGTGTGTGTGTGTGTGTGTGTGTGTGTGTGTGTGTGTGTGTGTGTGTGTGTGTGTGTGGTGTGTGTGTGTGTGTGTGTGTGTGTGTGTGTGTGTGTTGTGTGTGTGTGTGTGTGTGTGTGTATGTGTGTGTATATATATACATATAATATATACATACATACATACATACATATATATATATATATATATATATATATATATATATATATATATTGGTAGATAAATATAGATATATATAGATATTTAGATATATAGAAATTTATGTATAAATCCATATATATGAGGAGTATGCATCAATAATCCTTTAACTATACCAGGAAATGAACGAGAACAGAAAAGCCTTCTTGCCGCCCTTGCTGACTCGTTCCCTTCGGCCCGCAGGCGTCACGCTCTACGAGCTGGGGATCTCGGAGGCCAACCTGGCCAGCGCGGAAATGAAAGCCGGGAAGCTCACCAGCTACTTCTACAAGCGGCACCTGAGCGAGGCGCTGGAGCACCTGGAGGAGGCCAGCGCCATCCTGGCCCAGGAGCCGCCGACCTCGAACGAGCGGCGCTGGCACACGCGCGCCGTGGACACCGTCGCTATGGTTCGCCTCGACCTCGCGAAGGAGGAGGGCGCCGGGGAGGCCGTCGCTCCGGCACACGCGCAGGAGAGGAACGTAAAGGCGCCTTGACTTTTCTGGTGTGGGGGTTGACCGCGTCCTCTGGCTGACCTTGGTGTTTGTGTCATAACATGTCCTTTTGCTGCTACAGGCGTGACCCCGGGTCGGCGCTACATCCGCGTTCTCTTAATCAAAAGTAATGAAAAAGGTTTAGAGAAATAAAGATTCAGACATAGTTGACGGCACTGGAATTATTGGAACAAAGAGCAGAAAGTTGTGCCAAAGTCCGCTTTATATTTTTTTTCTCAGACATTTGGTACCAGAACTTGCCGAAGTCAACTTAGCAACCTAAGTTCGTCTCGCCCAGAGACTGTTGCTCCATAAACTTTGTTCACACGAACGCCCTAATATTTGAAAGAAATTAGCGCAGACTTGTACAACTTTAGCTTCATTGTGAACATTCCTTCATCATCGCCTATTGAGAACTTTGAACTTTGAGAAAAGAGTCATGACGACTCCTCTCCCTACGTGGTCACGCCCCTGGATCTCAGGATACTTGCAACAGCAGCAACATTAACCTTTCTCTTTTGCATGAGGTTCGCTTTTTGCTTGAGTTGCAGCCCAACCGCCGGATTTTGTACCGTTGAATAAAGCTGGATTTATCCCTTAGGCTGCAAGCGCTATAAATGCGAAATTCTTATCCTTTATAAAGGCAAAAATTCCTTTTAAAAATTATCCTTTATAAACGTAAAAAAAACTTTAAATGCAAAATTCTTATCCTTTCCATATTCTCGTAACTTTAACAATCTTTGCGAACCGATTGCCGAATCTATTGGCGCAATGTATGGTTGCAATTATTATTACTATTATTATTATTATCCATTATTATTAATCATTGTTTTTATCATCATTATTATACTATCATTATCAATATTATATTATATTATTATCATCCTTTTCATTATTACTAGCATTATCATTATTACTATTATTATCATTTTTATTATCATTATTATCGTTATCATTA